AGGTTTTAAAACATGTAATGGTATCTTAGTAGAAAGTAAGGGTAGATTTAAAGGTTCTATAAGCTTTTTCTATATACAAAGGTTAAGTTTTTGATATGTATACCTATAGCTTCTGCGACATGTGAGAGTCTGATTCTGGAACCATAGGGTAAATTCGGGGAGATTTTATAAATACCTTTGAACGCTGAAGTTCTATCAATTCGGTGACGAGTATTGACTTGATGTGCCAAGATAGAACTTCTTATTACATTATTTCGTCCTCTGGTCAACCATGAAGGGCGATGTCGAGACATACGATGATGCATTTGTCTAGTTGTACTTCACGGTAGAAGTTGGAATTATAAATATACATAGAAGCAGAAGAACTAGGCAATTCATCTTTATTTCATGAAATCACTGTTGGCTGGTTGAAGAAAGTAGGATATATAATGAAGCTGCACTGAATGTAAATTCCAAGGCATTTTGTATGAGCTGAGTTATTATTTTGCTGGATATATCACCTTTGAACTGCAATTTCAAGAATATATGCTTTTTTGGTACTGTCAACGATTTTACTTTGGGTTTATTTACAGACATACGCTTCGTTAAGAACTTTGATGGGTATCTTTGCTTACATAATAAATTCTGAATAGGTTTTAGTTCCTCTCCAAGAAAATTCTCAGAACAATTAATTTTGGCTCTGTGGGCCGGACATTTGACTAAGTTTCTTTTATATTGTAATAGGACAGAGCTAGAAAAATGTGTACGTTAGATTTATGTGGTTGGTTTACGATGAACATCTCTTCTTATGGGTTTGTCGGTTTTCTCGTCAATAGGACATCTAAAAAGGATGTGGTGTCGTACTTTTGCTCTCCCATTGTTAAGATTGCTTGGTAGACTATTAAATGTTTTTGGAAGGCTGTGAGCTTTAGTGTTGTTTTTCGTAAATATAAATGTATCATTCACATAGTAACAATAAAATTCTGGTTTCCCTATTACTCTTTTTAGAGGATCGTTTTATAATTTTTCCAGAATGAAATGAGCGAGGACTAGACCGGATGTTAATCCCATAGCGAGACCGTCGCATTGTCTGTAGGGCTTTTTAGTGAATAACAAATGTTTATTGATGTAACATTTGAGTACTGATTACTTTAAAGAGGAGACCGGAATGTCGATTTCCACTTCTCGATTTTGTAACTCACCACATATGAAATCAACTGTTTCTATGATAGGCACGTTTGCAAATGAAGGTGGTACATCAAGCGATATGATGAATTTCTTGTTCACCTTCAAGTCTCTTATTCTACCAACAAATCCAACACCACCTTTTTCACTATGTTTTACGACTTGGTGTAGAGGCTTAAGAAGTTCAACTAGCCATTATGTGGTTGCATAGTAAGGTGAGTTGATCATATCCAGGACTGAGCGAAGCGCTAAACCATTTTCTCGTACTTTCAGTTGACCATAAAATCTCGATGCTGCCGTACCCGTGTGTTTAAGTGTTGTGTATAAGTTTGTTTCAAATCATTTAATGATTAAGACAACTGTCGTTCAATTTTTTCTTTGGGGTCGTTCTCAGAAGACGATTTCTGAGATTTGTTATGGTTACTGAGCATTGTATTTACTTTATTTATGTAGACTGTTTTATCCTGATCCTTTATCATGTTTAATAAGCACTAGGTTTTTAATTGTTATTAGTTTATTCAGAGATCCTTCGTACCTTTTAGTCAGAATATTCTATGTACTGTGTTTACAGTTGATGTATTTATAATAACAGTCTACTAAAATAAACTTTAGTCTTTCTAGGTGGAAAACCATAGATAAAATCATAATTATACAACTATATGATCAAGATCAACGAAAACGAGCTTCTCACTACATATTTGTTCATTATACACCATGGACCATACGAGATTCTTATTTATTAATTAAAATTATTGGACAAGTCGTCGACCATGAAAATTGTATCAGTTTATTTTTTAACACATCTATGTAGTTGTTTCAGTGAGGCTGTGCTTTATTGCCTAACGACCTTTAGATTCTCACCTCTATGACTATTTAGGAGGAAGGGAACATAGATATGTGATTTACTGTATTAAGACTTCAAATAGAAATATGAAGTTTAGGGTAAATGAAGCATAGCTGATGTCAGTTCCTGATGAAAGTTCTAACCATAACTGTTTACCCTGACTCCTAACATTGGTTTGTTGAGGATAACCATTTATTCAAATATATGATAGTGTGATATCTAACATTTTCAGTGCGTCATAGATGCTAATATCAGTCTAATTTTTTTTACTAGAAACTTCATTTTAATCATTTAATGTCATATAGATTTATCTTCTATGAGCACACTACAGTGCATAGCAATTTACCAAATGATGAAAAGCAAAAAACGTGAAATTTAGAGCTTGAAATTCTATCTTCACTGAGAATTACATTTTCTTATAGAGTGTTTACTAATTAACTGAAGAGGACGATGTTAGAAGTTGGACACTCATTGAACAATGTGAAGCAGATGCACTACGAATTCATGAACACACATCCTATTCCCATTAGATTTTAACCTTGTATTAATGTATGCATCATGGTTTTAAGGCAGTTTAGAAGTTTAGCATCAGCTTGAGGTGTGTGTGTGCAATAATGCTTTAGCTATTACCATTTTTTATTATTTTACTAGAGAAGTAAACAATAGACTGTAAGAATAAACAATAATAAGTTATTTTAAATTAAAGCTAATAATATTTAAAATTAAAATGATTGATGATTAATAAAGTTATTTGAACACATTTCCATATAAAACCAATGACTAATTACTTTTATTTTAATAGTTGAATCCATGAGTTGATCTAAGATAGGCTGTTTCGTCCTAATATGGTACTCCTCAACAGTGCTCATCTACGATCCTTCAAGTAGGACTCGAATTTTTAATTACACGAACATAATGACCAATTTAATATGAAAGTATAAAATCTACAGGTTTTATAATGCAATTACTGTTTATTAAACTATCTGAATTTATTTTATCAAAAGTACCATTTACATTTTTGCTGTGATATACTTCAGTATACATTTTGATGTCATGTACATTGTTATCATTAAAGAGAACTGCTATAAATCTTATCATTGTATTCAAAAAGAGTCTGTGGTTAATCCCTAACTGCCTTGATAACAGATAGAAATTAGGCATTTTTATTCTTTCTTCTTCTCCCACTATTGTTCCAATTAATTGTAGTTACAGTTTAGTGAGTTAAATATATATGACCTGTTTATCTTTATAGAATATTTGTTATATTATTCAATAATATACGGTAAAATATTTTTTGAAATATTACTCCAAAGAATTACTAATAACCGGTTTAAAAAAAACTAATTCCAAACAACCTATTTGTTATTACCAATTTTCAAATCAGAGAGCAATTTTTCAGCTTGAGTGTAGTTGAAGAGAAAGCAATGAAATTACAGTAACTTAAGTGCAATTGAGTTTGTTCTCATTTAACTCAGTTAAGCCATTTTTTTAAACTTATTTAGTGGACAAAGTCATTTATACTATAACAACTTATTGTACCTTTATTACTGTTATGCTTGTATGAAATATGTATGCTCGAACATTGTTTACCGCCTAAACATATATTCATTCTGCTAGCTTTATTATTAACTGCTAAATTGACTCAATGATATATATATATATATATATATATATATATATATATATATATATATATATATATATATATATATATATATATATATATATATGTACATTTAACACTACTCTCTTGCTTCGCTGACTGAATCATTCGCCTCACTGCTTTGTGATCTGAGTTATCTGCTAATAAAACTGTAGTCGCTGCTTCTCTTTGCCTTTTAATTTCAAACACCGTTAAGGATTATATGGTAACGGTTACGAGGGTGATTGGTTAACGAAGAACAGCCACTACAAAATATAGTGTATTCACGATATTTTGCGAATATTATCATTCTTGAATTGCTCAACAACAACAACAACAAAAAATAGAACTCATTTAATTATTTTTAAAATCTCACTGAGAACATATTGATAGTTATAAATATTGGAAATAAAATAATTTCATAAAACTTCCAGTTATACAATATTAAACCATTAATCTTTCATAGATTAGTTTTCTTTGAAATGTTTCCTTGAAAGAGAGAAGAAAGAAATCACAATGAATTTCATAATGATAACATTATTACAAATTCGTCTAAGTTATATTTATCTTTTCATATTGTACAAATATGATAATCATATGATACATTTTGTCATTAAACAGGTCAATTTCTAATAAAATCTAAACTACCTATAATAAACTTATTTTGTTTATATTTATCTATCCATCTATCTATCTATCTATTCTGTGAATTTAATGTATGTATATAATTCTTATCATTTTCCATCTTTACCCTTATATAATATGTTTATGTATACACGTATATAATCTGGTTGTCAAATGTAAAACATTATAAGATTGTATATATGTAATGTACCGTAATCCATCTTATTATTATTATTATTCATAAATGATTGGTTCATAACTGGTTAATTGTGAATTAACTTTTCATCAATATGAAAATTTCATTTTAAATAGAATAACACTAAATGTACAAGTAGTATAGTACAATTGAAATTCAATTCACTGACATAGGTGTCAACTTTATCATATAAATTAATACACACACATATATATATATATACGTTTTGTTTTAAACAAAATTTATACCTTAAATATAATAAGTTTCATATCATTTTTTCGCATAGTGATTATCAAGTAATATATATTCAATATAAAACTTTACATAGTTTCAATTTTCAAAAAAAAACAAAACAAAACATAAAACAACAACAAATAAAGAAAAAAGAAAAACAAGACAGAAAAAAAACGACAAACGAACTAATTCTATTATTATTATTATTATTCATAATTAATTAATAATAAAAAAATGCATTTAGATCTTTTTATGTAGCAACCACAGAAAAAAAAGGGTATCACTAATTCAGTTTCATGCAATTCATTGAATTATCTAATTCATTTTGGAGTTTATTTAAATTAAGAAAAATTAGTTTTCTATTAATCAATTTAATTTTATTTAATTATGAAGAGAGTTTAGGATCAGGATATAATATATCAATGAAATATTATCATCCATATTCTAGATGGGTAAGTTATAAATGTTATTATTATTATTATTATATGTATTTTGTTGTTGTTTTGTTTTTATTCTAAGATTAAATATAGTTGTTTTGTTTCTAAGTGAATGAATCAGTGAGATTATCATTTATGAACAAATTAATCAGGTATAAAATGATAGATCTTGGATTTCGGTGTGAAATTCATCTATCCATTTGGTTAAATAGTTTCATGGTATTATAATTGATGTCAATTCATGATGAAAACTTTATATCTAATTGTTAATTTTAACCATCAATTGTAAATTATAATTCTAATTTCTCACACTGGTTTATAAACATCATTTAGTTCTACTTATTAGATGAACACTGTCAAGATCAATTTAGCACCGCTCAAAAATCGTCCATAAATTATAGTCTCATCAATGAATCTTTTATGAAAACAATTTCTCAAATAATGTTTTTGTTTTCTGATTTAGATGAGTAGGTGTTGAAATTCATTTATCCTTTTATATTTCTATAATAAATGTATATTTATAATGGAAACTGTCTTCAAATTTTGTTTCTGTTGTTGTTGGTATTGTTTGAAATATTCCCATATTGTAAATTTAGAACAACATATATAAGCGAACAATATTGTTTTCGATTAGATCCTCATCAGGCTTTACTCTAACTTTCTAACTTTCTCTTCGTTTATTATTTTTCTTCACACCCTCCTACCACTTTATTTTCTCTCAACTATACGTTTCATGGTCCAATTATCTGAACATTTCTTATTACGTCATCTTATAATTTTATAATTGTTATCTCAGTTTCTATATTTTTATAATCATTGACTTATTTCAGATTATGTAACATTGATTTGAACCTTTATTATTATTGCTTATCAAAACTAATGCACCTGTTGTCACACCATCAATTTGTACTTTTCACATTTTACTTATTATGTAATCGTTTTAATTGTTATCATTGACTTATAAACTACTTTGATTGGTTTAATAATTTCGTATATGCATATAAATATTACTGTATATTAGAGTAAAGCCTGATGAGGATCTAATCGAAAACAATATTGTTCGCTTATATATGTTGTTGGTATTGTTGTTTTACATCCAGTCTATAGGTTTTTATTTCTTTAATTTATTGAAGATTTTCAACAAGGAATCTTTTCTCTTTCTTAGATTCGTCATAATAATTTATAGATTTGTTTAATTTGATTTTTCCCTTATTAAAACAGTTTTAAATCCCTGCCCCTTCCCAGAAAAAAAAACAGAATAAAACAAAACAACAAACTTCATTTTATAATAAAGAAAACAAAAGAAACATAAGCTACTGGCTTCGCGCGCGAGCACTTAACCATTAGACCACTGAGCCGGCATCCAACGGTGTTAATGTCTAACTTCAACCAATCCACGAAGTTGCGCCACCGTACACCATTGTCTTCAGTGAGTTATTATCTCACAACAGACCGGTTGAACTCCACTGGTAACGGCTTCTCACTAGAACTCCAGGAGCTTTTCTTGAAGTCAGTCACTAGTGAGCAGTTGATTATTATTATCAGAATGGGTTTTGTGGAGAATTTACGACATTTCACAGGTTTTTTTTTTAAAATCATGAGTCAGTTGAAGCTAGACCACCATTGAAAACCTGCTGAGGAGTCCCATACCAGGAAGAAACGGCCTTCCAGTGCTTCCAGGTTTTCAATGGTGGTCTAGCTTCAACTGACTCATGATTTAAAAAAAAACCTGTGAAATGTCGTAAATTCTCCACAAAACCCATTCTGATAATAAAAAAAACATAACTTTCAATGATAAATAGTAATGAATGAATATGATAGAATATTTATTTCAGATTAGATGTTTTATGAATATGATAGTAATTTTTGTAATAATTAAATTCATAAGTTAATTAAAATTAAATTTTTCAGGTTTTCTATGATGATCTAGCTTTCATTAACTAAGAAAATGTTTGAATATCAAAATGTTGCTGGACAGAGGAATTCTCTGTTACTTCAGTAATATTCATTTCTATATTTAAATTATTGTAATTTTATTTTATTGTATATACTTTTACTCCAAAGAAGAAGTAGTAGTAGTAGTATATTTAGCTATGTAAGATGTAGTCATTAGTGTTACGTTTGTTATATTCTTCCAGTTACATAGAAGTATATATATATATATATATATATATATATATATATATATATATATATATATATATATATATATGCGGTATGGTTAATAGGGAATAGCTAAAATATATTTTTGCTACTCAGTATGATAGGAAAATATTTGCTAGTCAACGTTTAGTATTGAGAAGTATAAAATTGAAGATCATTTAAGCAACGTCTAATTCTACATAAAAGTGTTCAACATGAAATTAGACTTATTGGTTACTTTGAAAAAACAGAATTCTTTTTTAATACAAAAGCCAAGTTTATCCTTGTTAGTTATTATGCTTATTATAAACTGATCAATGATTATATGTTGCATAAATGTAATACTATACATTTCGTAATTAATGTGCAATACAAATTATTGTTTTATTGATGTATATGTAGAATCTTTGAGATGTATTCGAACAAACCTTTAGGTATCTGTTTTCTCCTTTGTTTTTTAAACAAAGTTGCTTGACATGTAAATATTAGTTACTTAATGAATTTACAAATTATATGCAACTGGTTCCCTTTATGAATTTGAATAGAGCAAACAAATTATATATAACTGGTACTTGCTTGTTTTCATTTGTATAATTAAATCGTAGTTTATAATGACATAAGGTTATACTTAATCTATTGAGTATAATGTTGTCTATAAGTTTTAACAGTTAAACATCTATATTTCATGATTAGTACTTAGGTTTATTATCTGAATACAGGTTGTTGTATACTGAATTTGACACATTCTTGAATCAGTAATATCCTAGCATTGTTCTTAATTTCTTCACGATGAACGTTATATACCATTTAGAGTATTGAGAAAAGTTCATGTAATTTAAAAAAAATTAATTCTATAATAACAATAAGAATGGTCAATGTAAAAAAACTTTCAATTAAATAGGATTGAACCAGAATACTTATCAGATAACAATATTAAACAATGAGGACCGTAGCTGTTTTCATGAAAACTTTGAATGAATCATTGGAATATATCGAGGAAATTTTAAAGAAGTTTAAAATATAATTTATTATCAGTCTAATGCTGATTGTCGATTCAGAACAAGCAGACAGTTTCATAAGATTGTATTAGAAATTTAAAACCATTTTACGATTAGGTCAACATTTAACTTACATATCATACTAACTTATTGGAAAACACTGACTTCTTTCAGATCAGTTTCCTAATGTTTTTTTTGTGATTAGTTAAAACAATATTTGTATTTTCTAATTTCAAAGGTCATCTAGTTGTGTTCCACCCATAGTAGTATCCATAGTATCAAGTAACAAATTGACATGTCTAATTCACCTGAGTTATTTAAGATATCCTGGTTTCCCTGTCAAAATCATTTGTATATAAGTTTACATGTGATTAAAAAATTATGATTTTGAGACAATCCTAAAAGATTATAACATTTTTCTCAAAATCTGAAAATTCTACATATGATTCTTTTGTCCACTTTTTACTATGATCTATGACTAAGCTAGTGAACAACATTTTTTTCAGTTACTCTCCAAATGATACATGCTTCTTTAAAGTAACAAAATTCCTTAATTTATTCTTTTTCCAAAGTTTTCTTATCCAAATATTTGATTTACCGTCAAATTTTTGATAATTTAATGTTTTAAAATAATTACTTGGTAACTATTTTGTGAATATCAACTTTTTATTCTATAAATGTCATGTTGATCTATTCACTTTTTTCTTTCATAGATATTTAAAAACTGAGTTTTAATAAAAACATCATACATCATAAGTTGTTATTGTAACTCAATAGATTGAATCATTCAATTGAAACAGTAAACAATAGGCTTTAAATAAATAATGATCAGAAACCACTTGTTTCAAATAGAATCTCTGTAACGTTAACTTCTGATTATTAATATTCATAGACATCAGGTTAAATATAACTATTAGTACTGGGGATCTTTTTTTTCCCAGATATTTGTGAACTGGACGGTTTTTAAAGAAAAATATCCTAATCCGCCATTACTATTTTGAAATAGACTTAGAAAGATAGACTAAATTATAAAATTGCTTTAACATATATGCTAACTATTATGTTTAATGACAGGGAGAACTTATAATCATTTATCTGATGCAGGAAAAGGTAGGAAGATTCGAACTTTACACAGTTTTAAATTTGTTTGCGCTATTAGGATGGTAGATTTTTTAATTCAACGTTTCAGCAGACTATCAATGAATTGATCCTTACAATTGCTTAAATATTTATTCTTCATTCATTTTATATTGAGTGGGTAAAAATTAAAGATTCTACTGATAATAAAATCAAAGCCATGTAACAATATGATCGTAAAAAGAAGGTTTTGAAGCTGACATTCCTTTCATATAATTATGGACAATGTGATTTGTTCAGTTCACTGATTAATAGTAAATCTATTTTCATATATATATCACAGTATGATCGATTTACTAAAATCACATATAGCTTAACTGATCAACTTCAGTCCTAAAACATCAGTGGGAAGATTCAAATAAAACAATATCAAGTGAATTAAACTTCACCCCATTGCACAAGCAAGTGGCTATCAGGACTCAGTAGCTAAGTGGATAACGCGATGCCGTTTGAAGCGAATGGTATTGGGTTCAAGTCCCAGAGTGAACACCAACTCTGAGATGCAGGTACACCCAGCTGACGAGTCCCAAATAGGACGAAAGGCGCGTCCTATATTCCACTGCTAGCCACTATCTTTCATTGCTTACAAAAGCTTGTGAATTAAGGCAATATCGAGGCATACGCACAGTATGCACATATGCCAATAAGAGACTGATCAACTTCAGTCCCAAAAACATCAATGGGAAGATTCAAATAAAACAATATCATCTGAATTAACTTTATAATGTCTAATATTGA